TAACTAAATAGGATCCATATAGACAAGCAAAAGCCACATAAACCAAAGCTCTTGGGGGAGGGGGAGCCCTCATTTCTTTTTAAGACTGGAAAAGAGCCAAAGATCAACCAAATTATGGTTTTGCCTCCCTGGAGTGACAGCTCCCAACTATGCCTATGCATGCAAAACCAACCAGATGTTACTTCCTCTTGACAGACTTAAAAAAAAATCCTACAGTTTGAAAACTAAAATCCTCCCTAAAATGGCTTTGTAAACGGGCCAGCTGACCTGTTCTTGAGCTGGACAGTCAGTCCATCAGCAATAGTCCATTTTCCAGACCAAAGTCCATTTTCCAGATCAGAAGGCCTGACTCCTATTTGCAACAGAACTGTTTTTGTTTTAATTTTTTGTGGTTATTGTTCATCATGGATTTTTTTTTTTTTGCTTTTTTTTTTTAAACTTGGGGGCCATGCTTAATGCATGGAAGAGCTTAGTTCCCCAACTGCAGATGGAACGTGAGCCCCCTGCAGTGGAAGCAAGGAGCCTTAACCGTGGGACCTCCGGGGAGTCCCTGAAACAGAATTCTTACGGGAAAATCTGCATGGTACCTTTATTTTCTTGGGCTCCAAAATCACCACACACGATGACTGCAGCCATGAAATTAAGAGTCTCTTGCTCCTGGGAAGAAAAGCTATGACCAACCTAGCCTGTGTATTAAAAAGCAGAGACATCACTTTGCTGACAAAGGTCCGCCTAGTCAAAGCTATGGTTTGACTAAAGAATTGATGCTTTCAAACTGTGGTGTTGGAGAGGACTCTTGAGAGTCCCTTGGACTGCAAGGAGATCCAACCAGTCCATCCTAAAGGAAATCAGTCCTGAATAATTCATTGGAAGGACTGATGTTGAAGCTGAAACTCCAACAGTTTGGCCACCTGATGCAAAGTGTCAACTCACTGGAAAAGACCCTGATGCTGGGAAAGATTGAGGGCAGGAGGAGAAGGGGACGACAGCGGATGAGATGGTTGGATGGCATCACCGACTTAATGGACATGAGCCTGAGTAAACTCCAGGAGTTGGTGAGGGACAGGGAGGCCTGGTGTGCTGCAGTCCACGGGACGGCAGACTCGGACATGACTTAGCAACTGAACAAGAAGAAGCTGTAACAGACAATCACCATGGAGAATGTGGAAGTCAGGCTCTATTAGAGGAATTCTTCATTCGCCCACATACGTCTCTAGACACGCATAAACCTCCAAGTGCCATGAGTTTCTCACGCTCTTGTCTGTAGTCATACTAAAGTTTTAAGAAAAGGTCCCCTTCAGGAGTCAGCTCCTTTTTCAAGCATCTTCTTCCACCTTTTCACAGAATCCCCGGGCACGCACGCCGCACCCCTGCCCCAGCGAATAAAACGTGCAGGGCCGTGAACACTTCCAAAGGGACGGTTATAAACGTGGGAGAGAAACCTCCATCGTATCGCAGTCACGCCGGAAGAAGTTATTCAAGTGCAATGAATATGTACGTGCTGACAGTTTTTCCCCCATGAAAAAGACGCGAAACAGCTCACCTCCAGAAAACTCCACGTCTGCCCAAGCAAGCCACCATCGAAGGGCTGAGATGATCCCCAGGCAGATTCAGCAGGTATTCAATACCTGACGTGCAAATGTCAGCAACGAGCATAAGCAAGGAAGTTTTACGTCCGACGTGTGATCTGACCTCTCCGGGTGGGTGATCAGAGACCAGAGTGGGAACCGAGACACGGGCGCAGAGAAACGGCCTTGTGCACACACAGCGGGGGAAGGAGACGGTGGGACGAATTGAGAGACATACATGCGTTGACATATATGCACACACGACCACGTGTGAAACAGACGGCTGCTGGGAAGCTGCTCTCTAGCACCGGGGGCTCAGCTCGGGGCTCTGTGACGACCCAGAGGGGTGGACGGGGGTTGGAGGGACACTCAAGAGGGAGGGGACAGACGTAAACCTATAGCCGATTCAAGCTGGCTTAAAACTCAACTCTCAAAAAAAACTAAGATCATGGCATTGAGTCCCGTCACTTCACAGCAAATAAATGGGGAAACAGTGGAAACAGTGGCAGACTTTATTTTCTTGGGCTCCAACATCACTGCAGATGGTGACTTGCAGCCGTGAAATTAAAAGACGCTTGGCCCTTGCAAGAAAAGCTACGACCAACCTAGACAGCATATTAAAAAGCAGAGATATTACTTTGCCAACAAAGGTCTGTCTAGTGAAGGCTATGGTTTTTCCAGTGGTCATGTGTGGATGTGAGAGTTGGGCCATAAAGAAAGCTGAGCGCCGAAGAATGAATGTTTTTGAACTGTGGTGTTGGAGAAGACTCTTGAGAGTCCCTTGGACTGCAAGGAGATCCAACCAGTCCATCCTAAAGGAAATCAGTCCTGAATATTCATTGGATGGACTGATGCTGAAGCTGAAGCTCCAATACTTTGGCCACCCGATGCTAACTCATTGGAAAAGACCCTGATGCTGGGAAAGGCTGAAGGCAGGAGGAGACGGGGACGACAGAGGATGGGATGGTTGGATGGCATCATGGACTCGATGGACATGAGTTTGAGCAAGCTCCGGGAGCTGGTGATGGGCAGGGAAGCCTGGCGTGCCACAGTCCATGAGGTTGCAAAGAGCTGAACAAAACTGAGTGACTAAACTGATAGCTGATTCACAGTATTTTGCAGCAGAAAGCAACACAACACTGTAAAGCAATTATCATTCAATTCACAATTTTTTTTTTAAAAAAAAAAGACCTTTCACAATACCAAATGCACTTCAGCAATCATTGTCGTGGTTTGTCGTTATCACTTTAAAATATATAAACAAGAAAGTAATTCTGTCACTGAGACCATGGTCGCTCTGCTCTCCACACCACAGGCCACTGAATCCGAGAGACAAACTGTTGAGGCAAGAAAGAGACTTTAATCACGGAGCCTGCAGACCGAGAAGATAGCAGGCTAGTGCCTCAAAGTAAGCATCTTATTGGGGTCTGGATGCCAGGTTCTTATATAGATCCGAGAGGAAGAAGCAATGCAGAACTGAAGTCAAAAGGAGAGGGAGAGACAGCATGGAAGTCAAGTCAAAGGGTCTTGAGTCTTGCAAAACATCTCCCACAAAACGTCCAGCCTTCCTAAGGGGTGTGTTAACCTCATCTGTTCACAGGTGGGCAGGGACAAACTCTCTCTCCAGAGCTAAATAAATGCACTTTAAGTGAAAGTCGCTGAGTCGTTTAGGACTCTTTTCCGACCCCACGGACTGTACAGTCGATGGAATTCTCCAGGCCAAGATACTGGGGTGGATAAGCTTTTCCCTTCCTGGAGAAGGGCATGGCAACCCACCCCAGTATTCCTGCCTGGAAAATCCCATGGACAGAGATGCCTGATGGGTTATCCAGTCCATGGGGTCAGAGAGAGTCAGACAGGACTGAGCGACTTTCTTTTTTTCTTCCTCCATAATAATAAAAAGCAAGTCAAAGAAACAGCTTCCAACATGGAGTCAGAATGGGTGACTTCCCCCCTGCAGCACTTCCACACTAATCCTTTTATGCTTTGTACACATTTATATAGACTATACATACTATTAAAAAAGAAAACATCTGATGCTTAAAGGCAAAAAACCAGGACTACCCTGGTGGCCCAATGGTTAAGACTTGGCCTTTCAATACCAGGTTCAATCCCGGGTGGGGTTGCTAAGTTCCCTTATGACTCAGTAATCAAAAAAAACCCAGAAACATAAAAACAGAAGCAACATGGTCAACAAATTCAATAAAGACATTAGAAACAAAACAAAAAACCCCAGCTATTCTGCATCAGAACTGGGCCTCTGGGTTAGAGTTTATCCAGCTGCACACCTGAGCAAAGTTCAATGTCTGATCTGCCAGGCTCCTCTGTCCATGGGATTCTCCAGGCCAGAACATTGGAGTGGGTGGCCATTCCCTTCTCCAGGGGATCTTCCCCGCCCAGGGATCGAACCCGGGTCTCCTGCGTTGCAGGCAGAGTGTTTCCTGTCTGAGCTAGCAGGGACACCCACAACCTCCCCTGGGTGCTCTGCAATTTAGGGCCCGTCTGGGGGCAAAGGTGGGACAGCTCTTCACAGGCCTTCACTGTCTACAAGTCAGCCCAAGATGTCAAAGCGGTTCTCTGCCTCTGCAGTCTTTTCCAGTCATCCTCGGTGTGCTTTTTAAAAAAGCACCAAAACGCAGTGTATCAGAAAACGAAACGCTTAGCGCCCATAAAGCCGGAAGATGTATCTCCCTGGGTGAAGACCCAGAGAGGGTGGAAAAACAAGCACTTGTGCTCAAGCTGCACGTGCGCAAGGTTTGGGCCCCGCTGCGCCTTCCTGGGGGTGATGGAGGCCCTGGAAGGCGTTTTCACAAGCATACTAAGAGCCTCTTTGGCTGTTTTTCCAGCCCAGTCTCCCGGGGGTGGTCAGGGGCGTTGCCCACAGGCTGCCTGGGGGTGCTACGCCAACACCCTTGAAGACAGTTGGACTTGAGAATCTCTCTCTCCTCTTACGCCAGACGATAAAGAGATTCGTTACAGGGTAACAGGGCACCACGCTTCCCAGAGAATACTTTGTTTCCTAAAGTAGCTCTTTTTCACCTACAAAAATTCACATGTCATTTAGGGCTCACAGACCCTCGAGTTATTTTGATATCCTGCAATTCAAGAGCAGACAGAAACAACACCGACTTCCTCGATCCAGGTCCTGAGAACGCCGAGGTGACCAGACACAGCCGGAGATCCCCCCCAGAATGGTGGCGATGGGGTTGAGGGGTCCCTAATATGCGTGAAGACACGAACGGGTCCCCGCACCGCTAAGTTTGGGCCGCGAGGCTCCGCAAGCAGGTGGTGCAGGCCGGAGAAACCAGAGGCCACTAAACGGAAGGCCCCCTCTCCAGGGCTCCTCGAAGCCGCCCCCGGCCCCTTGGCGCGCCCCCCCGCCCCGTCCCCCGCCCCAGCCCTCAGTCCCCGAAAACCCGGGCAGGCCCCGTCCTACTGAAGCCTGCGGGGGGCCGGGATCTCGGGCGCCCCCCGCCTCCCTCCGGGATGCGGGTCTGCAGAGCGCAGGGACCCCTGGGGGGGCTCCCGCCGCGGTTGGGGCGCGCACGGATCCCCTGCAGAGACCCCAGCCCCCGCGACGCTGGGGAGGGAGAGCCTTCCCCTCAAGCCAACCCTCCAGGCCGCCGGGCCCGGCTTCCGGGAGCGCCCGACGCGGCGCGCACGAACCTGCGACCCCACCCCCACCCCCGGCCAGGGCGCGCGGGACCCCCGGGCGACCCCGGCCCCCGGGACGCGCGGAGCGGGCGGGGCGCTGGAGAGGGCGCGCCTCCTCCCACCGCCAAGGCCGCCCGGCCCTGCTTCCGGGAGCGCCCGACGCGCCCGCCTCCCCGCGCCCATTCCCAGCTCCGCCCCAAACCTGGGGGTCCCCTCCAGGGGCGGAGGGCGCGCCCCAGGCCCGGCGGCGCGGTCCCCGGCCAGCCCCCAGCAGCTCCGCCCGGCCCGCGCGGCCCCGGCCCCTCGCCGCCTCCCCGGCCGCTGACCTGGCTCCACGAAGCCCCGGACGCAGCGGCGCAGCAGCTGCGCCACGATCAGCGCCGCGCCCACCGCGTACACCCGTAGGGCCGCCCGCGCCGCGGACAAAGGCGACATGGCTGCCCCCGCCGCCGCCGCTTCCGCGCCAACCGCGGGACTCGGGGCCCCGGGCCGGACGGCGGAAACGCGCCCGCGCCGGCCCGCCCCGCGCCCCGCCCGCGCGCCCGCGCCCCGCCCCGCGCGCGCGCCCCCAGCCCCTCCTGCGCGCGCGCCCGACTCCCGCCCCGCGCGCGCGCCCCCAGCCCCTCCAGGACCCCCGTCCACCCCGGGGGGGCAAGCACCCCCGCCCCGAACGGGGACCCCGGAACCCCCCCCGCGGGTCATAGGCCCCAGGGACCCCTGACCTGACCCCTGGACGCCCCCCCTCGGATCTTGCACCCTAGGGACCCCCGCCCAGACTCGAGGACCCCCGCATCATAGACCCCAGGGACCCCTGACCGGACCCCGGGATCTCCCCGCAGATCATAGACCCCAGGGACCCCCACCCGGACTCCAGGACCACCACAGCCCTGAGGATCATAGACCCCTAGGATCCCTTCCCAGACCTGGGGACCCCCGCTCCCGGATCATAGACCCCAGGGACCCCTGACCAGACCCCAGGATCCCCCCGCGGATCATAGACCCCAGGGACCCCCACCCGGACTCCAGGACCACCACAGCCCCCAGGATCATGGACCCCAGGGACCCCCTCCTGACCCTGGGACGCCTCCCCCCCATCATAGACCCCAGGGACCCCGACCAGACCCTGGGGCCCCACTCCAATCTTGGACCGCAAGGACCCCAGTCCACGCCAGAAACCCGCTCATACATGTCCACTGTCTGGACCACAGTCTCCAGTCACACACACACACATACACACACATCCTCTGTCTGGACCACAGTCCCCAGGGACACAGCCCCTGCGGTCCCAAAGCCCTTTCAACCCTGGGACCACACTCAGACCCCCAGGACTCCGTCTGACTGCACGACCCGTCACCCAGACGTGGACCCAACCCCGACCGTGGACTCCTGCTCCAGGGCCCCTCTCCCGGCCCTCGGACCCCAAGAGCCTAACCTGGACTGCAAACCGTCCATTCTGACCACGGATTCGTGATACATTAACCGCCCCCCTCCCCCGCCCACCTCTGGCCCAGAACTCGGAACCTCCCACAGACTGGAGAATCCTGCCCGGATGGTGGGACCCCCTCCCAGCCCACCCAGACAGGACGTGGACTCCCAGCTGGGACTCTGGGAGCTGGGGCACCCCACCTAGACTTTCACCGGACCCCCACCCAGATCACAGCTGGGGCCGCCCCCTCTCCACAACTCCCCCTAACCCAGACCCCCAAGGAGACGGCACACAGACCCCTACCCAGAACCTTACAGAAACCCTAGCCTGGCAACCCCAGAGGATGAGACGGTTGGATGGCATCACCGACTCAATGGACATGAGTTTGAGCGAACTCTTGGAGTTGGTGATGGACAGGGAAGCCTGGCGTGCTGCAGTCCGTGGGGTGGCAGAGAGTCAGACACGAATGGGTGACCGAACGACAATGAACGACCCCACGTGGACCAAGTCCAACCAACACCAACATCTGATCCATCTCGCTGCCCTGTGGGTGAGAAGTCTCACCCGTGATTCCGGGCTCGAGGTCTAACCCGGTCAGAGCGGAGCCGTCTGCCCACTGGGCTTCCCTGGCAGTGTCGTGGAAGAGCCTGTTTCGGAGTTTGTTCGGGTTGACGGACGGCAGGACCCACCTCCTTGTGGCTCTAAGGCTGAATTCCCTGCTTCTGAACTGGGGGTCAGCGGTGGGGAGGGAAGGGGGCCCTGTCTCTGGTCCGAGCATCCCACCCTCAGCATCTCCAGCGTCCCTCCGGGCTTCCCTCCTCTCCCGCTCCAGCCCAACAAGGTCCTCTGCTTTTGAAGGCTCGTGGGATTAGAGTGGGCCCACCAGGCTAATCCAGGATCATCTCCCTATTTTCAGCTCCATAACCTGGGGAAGGGAGAAGCTACCCACTCCAGTAGTCTTGGGTTTCCCTGGTGTCTCAGCTGGTAACGAATCCGCCTGCAATGCGGGAGACCTGGATTGGATCCCTGCGTTGGGAAGATTCCCCTGGAGAAGGGAAAGGCTACCCACTCCAGTCTTCTTGCCTGGAGAATCCCACGGACAGAGGAGGCTGGTGGGCTACAGTCCATGGGGTCGCAGAGAGTCAGCACGGCTGAGCGACTGAACAGCAACAGGATAATCAATAACCCAGGACAAAGAAAGTCATGCCGGGTTGTCTTCCTTGAGACCTGCTACCTTAAGAGGTGAGAGGGTCCCAGGGAAACACTCTTCTCCTAGTGAAAGGTGTTAGTTGTCATTTGGGGGGGACTCCAAAGAGCTCTGGAATCACAGTCCTGAATGTCAGCACAGAGAAGAATTCAGTGAGAGCAAAGTGATGGGTACGAAGTGATTTATTAGAATAGGACGCCTGTGAGTCTAACAAGCAGGTGGGATTTACAGGGTGCCGGACCCTGCAAACTTACTGAGCTCTATGCTTAGTCGCTCAGTCATTTCCGACTCTACGACCCCACGGACTGTAGCCTCGCCAGGCTCCTCTGTCCATGGGATTCTCCAGGCAAGAAATACTGGAGTGGGTTGCCATGCCCTTCTCCAATTAACTCACGGAGGTCTCACGTATTTTTTTCTACTTACAATGCCATCATGGGATTAACTATTTGATCACCTACTTTGTCCCTTTTTTGTTGTTGTTCAGTCGCTCAGTTGTGTCCGACTCTTTGTGACCCCATGGACCGCAGCACACCCGGCCTCCCCGTCCATCACCAACTCCCAGAGCTTGCTCAAACTCATGTCCGTCGCGTTGGTGATGCCATCCAACCATCTCATCCTCTGCCCTCCCCTTCTCCTCCCTCCCTCAATCTTTCCCAGCCTCAGGGTCTTTTCCAACGAGCTGGCTCTTTGCATCAGGTGGCCAAATGTGTCCCTAGCTGGCGTTAGGAGGAGGCTTGTCAGTTTTCCGGAGGAGCATCAGTGTTCTCCTCCCAACACAGAGAGTATCTTGGCGTTTCCCACCGGGATGCTGTGTTGATTGCGTTCCCAAGGAGCTCCTTAGAAAACTGCTTAGAACACTTCAGACTAGGGGCATCGTCAAGCTGTTCGGTGTGGTTTTGCTGGGTTTTTTTTTTTTGGGGGGGGGTTTGGCATTTTGCAGTACCTCTTTCTAGAAGCAGCTGTGAAGATTGTCAGTGCCCTTTGTGGGCGTGCAACGCGGTATTATGTGTAAGTCTGAGGGGAAGGCGCGAGAGAGGGCGTCTTTAAAATCTGCTTCTATATTTGCTGCCCTGTTTTATCTCCGGCTTTTGTGTCCCGCAGGACAAAGAAGGCAGGTGCAGCTAGCTGGCTAGATTCGTTCCCCAGGGTGGGCTGTTCCCCGAGATTCCTTGTCTGGGTAGCCTCGGATGCCCCTAAACACCGCGTCAGGGGTCTCTGCCACCTGTTCATTTCAAGCACGTGTTCAAAAGCCAGCGATGGTTCCACGCGTCAGTTTTGTCCTCACTGTGTTTTCCAAAGTTCAAATTTGTGCCTTCTCTCTCTCTCTTTTTAATGGAAGTCGTATGATTCCTAACAAGCACCTTTCCATTGCAGCTGGGTTTAGGTTAATAGACTTTTTTTTTTTTCTGTCTGCACTTAAAGGCTCGGCAGTTCCCTGGACAGGGAGTGAACCATGTCCACCACACCGACAGGGCCGAGTCCTAACCAGTGGACCGCCAGGGAAGACCGCAAAGTTGAAGATTTTCATTGCAATCCTGCTGTCCCTCTTAAAAGCCATTAAAAAAAAAAGTTCAGAAAAGTGAAACGCAGGGAAGATAGTCCTTTACGCACTTACATGTTCAGTGTATAGACTGTGGGTTTTAGTCACTTCAGGCGTGTCTGACTCTCTGCGACCCCACGGACTGTAGCCCACCAGCCTCCGCTGGATCCGCGGGCTTCCCCAGGCAAGCACACTGGAGCGGGCTGCCGTACCCTCCTCCAGGGCATCTTCCCCGCCCCGGGGACTGAGCCCTTATCTTCTACATCTCCTGCATTGCAGGCGGATTCTTTACCAGTGAGTCACCGGGAAGCCCACACACGTGTAGGAAGGCTGAACAGATCTCCTCGTTAGTGGACATTATATTTAAAAAATAATCTAAGCCATGTTCTTTGCTTAAAAAAAAAAATGTAAGGATGGTTATGCAGTTGAGAAAAGACGTGGGCAGCCAACAGCGCCTGTGCTGAAATGCACAGGCGAGGAAGGGTAGCGAACCATTTCTGGGCCGCATGGGAGGTCCCTGGGGGAGCATTACTGGGCCCACCCTCTGCCTGTGTCTCCCAGGACACAGAGGGGCTACAGCTATCTAAAGGCAATAATAAAATGCATCCTGCGGATTACTGAGGAATCTGATGGCTCAAATCTCAGGCGCCATGATCTTGATCGTTACCAAACTTTTACACATTCCTCCCTCCATCAGGGATGACTTAGTGCCACAGGGACCCAGAGTTTCCGCTGGACCCCAGGACAGTTATGAGCAGAGCGAAGCACAGTTCTGTGCTGTCGCTCAGGCGTGTCCGACTCTTTGCGACCCCATGGACTGCAGCACGCCAGGCTTCCCTGTTCTTCACCATCTCCCAGAGTCCCCCCAGACCCATGCCCATAGAGTCAGTGATGCCATCCAACCATCTCGTCCTCTGTTGCCCGCTTCTCCTCCCGCCCTCAAGCTTTCCCAGAATCAGGGTCTTTTCCAGTGAGTCGGCTCTTTCGCATCAGGTGGCCAAAGCACTGGAGCTTCAGCTTCAGCATCTAAGCTCATTTGTTCCCAGATGCCATGGACTCCAGTTGACTCCAAAGATTGCATCCTTTTTAGAAAGATACATTGGCATCTGTTCTCACGGCCTTTGTCCAAACACATTGTTAGAAAGTAAGCGTTTTTCCTCTTTGGATTCCTACACTTAAAAAAAAAAAAAAATACTTGGAAACAAATAGCAAGGGTGGTTGTATAATAGTATAAAAGTACTTCCTGCCACTGACTGTTGAAC